TTAAAGCTCATGAATATTAAAAAAGTTTCTTTTTAAGTTGAACTTTTTTTCATAATCCTGAGCTTTTTATGTATTTAATATTTAACACTGTAAATTTAATTATTTCTGAAAAATATTGCGTCTAGAAATTAATAGAATCATGCAGAAAAAGATAAAAAAGGAAAAAATTATCAAAGTAGGTTAAATAGGTGACAAAATTATGAATAGATAAAAAAGTGAATAGGTAAAATTATACTAAAATACAAAATACAAAAACATAGAGTTGAAGTAAACTTTTGTTCCTATTTGTCAGATTCTTTCTTAAAAATTCTTTCCAAGCACTAATAAAAATGCTGAACAATCAGGAAACATTCACACCCGCACGTAAAATATATCTAATTAAATATAAAAATAAAAATAATTGTATAATTCCACTTTTTATTATAAATATAAACACCTGTATTATATAAAAAAAAGTGTAAACATATAAAATAAAAAACACACAGAAAAACAATTTCTTTGTATTATATATTTTAATGGGAAGTTGATGTTTCGTTGTAACTTTATCATTGCGATGATATCTTAACTATAAAAGAATTAAAATAAGTTTTGCCTATATATTTATTATAAGATACATCTCGTGAATATATTATACTTTTTTTTAACTTAAAAAAACTCTTTGAAAATTATATATGCTGTGAAATTCCAAGAGATGAAATTGCGTGTAGGATAAATAGAATTGATAGAAAAAAAATATTATTTCTCACTTGAGTATCATTCCCTTTTTGTATATTTAATGATTTCATGTCAAGTAATTTTGTTACATTTTATACATTTATCAGAACGGTGAGGCATGTTATGCCTATTGAGCGTGATACCCTTACATGATCTGTGTTGGATTATGATTTAGTTTTTTAACTTCATTAATCTTGATGTCATGCGTAAAATTTCACATTTATGCTTTTCATAAAATTATATTCTTTCTTTTAGGAAATTATAAATAGAATTTGATATGAAGAGTATATTATTATTACTTATTATGATTACTATTAATACTGTTTTTAGCACTATTATGATTATGATAGTAATGTATTAGAATTGTGTTAAAAAAATTATAGGTTTGGTTTTTTCAAATAAATATTATTATAAATAAATGGAATAAAATTGCGATATGAATATAGAGAATGTGTGTTGATTTCACCGTATAATGGAAAAAGTTGAGATGAAAATAATTGTAACAATGAAAAAATGGCATAAAGGAATTTGAAATTAGTGAAAGTAGATTAACAATAAGTAGAAGTTGATTTGAATTTTACTATATAGATAAATCCATCAAGCTGGTTATAAAATTTTACTAATGATAATGAATTGAGTGCAAGGAACGTCATTATAATCAGTGCATTTAGATTTAATTTTGATATGCAGAACTTGATAAGTGGAAATATCTTTCTTGCAAGCACATGCAGATCATCTATAACGATTGACAGGAGAGAACTGGTCAGTACTCTCAATAGCACTGCTGCAGTGTCGTGACTCAAGAACGATAAGTGTTTTACGTTCTTTCTCCTATTTTTTTTTCTTCAATATTCCAAAGACACCTTTGACTATTTTTTTTCTTTCTGACTTGAAAAAAAAGTTTTTTAAAGTCACGTAAATTCTTTACCTGGGGATTTTTTTTTTAATGAATAATAATCTTTAAGTTTGATCCTCAATGCAGTTTTTGCCAGCAAATGTTTGAAATGATTTTGAAAAAAATTAGAGAATGTTTTTTTTTTATTTATAAAAATAATGCTGCTCTGGAAAAAAAGGAAATAATTTATTTTGTGTAAAATGATGACTATGACTATCACAAATAATTATCAATTTTTGTTAATTAGGTGCATTCACTCTTTAAATTTGAATTAGTAAAATTTTTTACTAATTTGAATTATGACTGACTTTTTGCATTTTAATTAGTAAAGTTTACTAATAAATAGTAATTTCTACTAATTTATTAGCAATATTTACTAATTGAAAAGCAAAAAATCTGTCACTAATTAAAATTAGTGAATATTTTTTATACTAATTCAAATTTAGAGAGTAATATTTATTTGACCGTAACCGAATAATTGAATTGTCAAAAACTTTTAAATAAAGGACAAAAGTAATTTTTTTTGTATTAAAAAATATTTTTTTAAATTAAAAATATTTAACAAAATAAAAAAATGTTTGAAAGAAATATTCTTATAAAATTAAAAAAAGCTTGGAAACAATTTTTTTTAATGGAGAATAACAATTTTTTTCCTATAATTCTATGAAAGTTATGCTAATCACTATTTGCTTGACGTATTTGAATAATGATTACACATCATGGTCTATGGCCGTGTGTCTCTCTGAAATGATTGAATCAAATCCTAAGACTATGTTATAATCATCATGAAAATGTAAATATGTAATAAAATTGCAAACTCCACTTTAACCAAACAATGCTACTTAGAACAATTTTGAGACTTGTGTATATATATACACACACTATATGTATATATAACTATATTTGTATAAATATATATACACTCATATACATATATATTTCCAATGAGAAAATTGAGTTTTATGTCGTGTAATAACTTCCTTGAAAACATCGCCGGAAAACAATCATTTTCAAAAGTAGAAGCAAATATATACTGAATTAGTGATGATAATTAGCAGCTATTATTAAGCTATACAAGGTGTTAATTTTCTCATTGTTTAAAATATATTCTTCTTCTTCTTCTTCTTCTTCTTCTTCTTCGTCTTATATATTCGTCGGCGGGAAAATTCTTTTGTATTTTGCAAATTGAAAGAATTGAAGTAACGATATTGAAGAAAATAGGATGAAATATAATGAGAGAATGTGAAAATATTTATTAATTATAGAAGTAAAATATATAAATTGGAATTTGCATCGTTTTCGCGAAATAAATTATTCAATCTTTTACATCGGGATTCACGGTTCAGGAATAAATTAATTTTTAATAGTTTTATTATATAGTAATTATAATAATAATTATTGTAATTATTTTATTATTATGATTAAAAAAAACTGTATCAATATATTCTGTATACATATAGTTTATAATAATAAATAATTATTATAATTATTATTATAGTATAATTAAAAACAACTATCAATATTTTAGTAGAATTATTTTGAGTATGGAAATAATTATATAGTCACTTTATTTTATTTGCAATTATTTAAAAAAAATTTAATAAAATTCTACGCAAACATTTAATTATTTTCATAAATAATAAAAATTTCACAGGAATTCAATTAATTACAAGTTTTTTTTAAAAATTTCTATGCAATAATTCGATTATTTTCATAAATAATAAAACTTATTGCAGAATTTCAATTATGTTCAAAAATTAAAAAAAAAACTCTCTAAATTTTAATTATTTTTATAAATAATAAAATTCTTGGCAAAATTTAAATTATTTTCAAAAATTATCCTCAATTCGATTTCCAATATTTACTAATTTAAAAAAATTCTACGCGAAAATTTAATTATATTCATAAATAATAAAAATTTCATAGGAATTCAATTATTATTTACAAATTTTTTATTAATTTCTTGGCAATAATTCAATTATTTTCACAAATAGTAAAATTTTTTAAAGGGATTCAATTATTTTCATAAATAGCAAAATTCTCTTTAGGATTTCAATTATTTTTATAAATATGCAGAATTTCAATTATTTTTAATATACAATTTTAATTGAATTTCCCGATAAATGTAATTATTCTTAAAAATTTTATTAAAATTCGTCGAAAGAATTCAATTGTTTAAAAATTATAGCGTGAATTTTCGGAGATAATTTAATTTTAAAAAGATTTCAAATTAAAATCTTTCAAACTTTGAATTTTTTTTAACTATTACAATGTAAAGAAGAATTTAAGTTAAAAATTCTAGAAAATAATAATTGAATTGAAATGAGAATAAATTTGAAGAAATAATAACAATATTCGATAGTTTGAATTATTCAATTTTCTCTGTACTCTAAAAAAAAATTTTTTTTGATTCAACTAACCGATAACTTGTCTTTTATTAAATAAATATTTACTTAAATAAATAATTTTTTTTAAATCAATTAAATTTAAGCAAATATTGCAATTGTTGATTCAAATATAATTTGTTTGTTGTAAATAAAAATTATTTGATTCAAGTCAATATTTATTTAATAATAGACCAGTAATCGGTTATTAAAAACATTTAAATTTTAGATTTCGTGTACAAATATGTCAAATAATTAGACTAGTTTTAGAAATTGTATGCAATTAAATACTTAAATAAATTTAAATTTATATTAAATTAAATTAAATTATATTAAATTTATTTTAAATTAATATGGAATGAAAAACTACTATGTAATCTTTGGAATAGCCGAAAGGGGTGACTTAGTGTTTTCTGCTTCGTTCTGAAGGTTCATTATTCAAACAATTTTAAGTAGATGAGGAAAGTTTTTTAAGTGACATTGAGGTCTTTGCTTTTTTAAATAAGTTTCGAAGTATTTTTGCAAAATTTTCTTAATCTTCTACAAATGATGCCCTTGGATTTTTTATTAAATTTTTAAGTTCCTGAATTTGAGATAAATAGTTTAGTGATTGTTCGCAATAGGAAAAGTTGTATTAATTAAAATATTAATTTATTGATTATTAATTAATTAAATTATCAAACTAGAATAGTCATTTTAGAGTCTTGGGAAAATTTTCTTTTTCCTGCTTCAAACTCTAGTTTTTTTATTTTTTTCTTTTCTATCCACGTTTTTCATTCTCAGCGAAATAATTTCCAATGAAAATGTCGTCCTTGCAAAGCACGTATATAAAGGATGAAAATTAATGACTTTGAGAATCAATTGCCATACTAACTGACCAACGAAAGTGTACCGTTTCAAGCTCATTTTCATGCCCAGACAAACTCAGAATGAACCGTGAGTTCTTCAGGTGAAGAGCAAGTGCTCTTGTCGCGTTTCTATATTGGTGGGGGCTGCACCATAAGTAAGAGACGGCCTTAAGAAAAACCTTCATTCTGATAGCAGACCGCGATCTACCAAGTTGGTGAACAAAATTTATATTAAAAAAAGAAAAAAACGTGATTAGTGGGGTGGTGTTCATATTTTTATACTACAAAAAGAAGAAGAAGAAGCGAAAATAATAATCAAACGCCTCAAGTAATTCAAAAGGGATGATCGCAGTTCATAACTTATAACAAGCTGCAAGGAGATTGAAAAAAAATTAATCTAAGGATCGCGAATTTTGTGATCTTAAAAACGAATGAACGACATTTGGATTTATCCGTGTTAAGTGGTGGATTATTATTATTATTATTATTATTATTATTCTACAAAAAGAGAGAAAAAAAGCAAAGAAAAATGAAAGGATTCAGCTATAGGTGAAAAAGCTTTGAAGGCGCCTGGAGGTTCTTTACTATCGTCGAGATCTGTAATTTTTAAAACTAAAGTGAAGATCATTTCTGTGGAATAATATCTTTGCTTACGAGTCTACTTAGGCTTAAAGAGGTAGGCAGGAAAAAAAAAAGTTTTATACTTAATTTTCGTCATTTTAGTAATTTTATTGTTAGTGGTGAAGCTCAATGACCGTGCAATTTACGTTTATATATATAGAAGCACGAGTCTCGCGAAGGTTTTATCTTTAGTTTTCTTGGGGTAGTCGTTACTCGTGCGTGTAACAACTTACTTAATTGGTTTCGAAACAGGTAATCGAGGGACCGACAAAGGGCGTTTTGCGAGTGTTTAAAATGTATTCGAATAAAAATTAGGCTAACAATTAAACATTTTTCTGATTAGCAAAAAAGTTTTTCCGAAGTTGAAAATTAGAATTCACTTTTGAGTTTAGAGAAATTGAATTTTATTTTCTCGTTATTCGTGTTACTCTCTAAATTTGAATTAGCGAAAAGTTGCTCTCTATTAGAAAATTTTATTTAGTCCGTTTCACTAATTAACAGAAATTTTACTCTAAAATTAAAAATAGTAATTTGTAGTTGTAGTGTTAATGTTCTAAAATATAAAAAGAAAATTGCTAAAGTGTAGTTGAAATTTTCCCTGTAATTTAAATTAGTAAACATTTTATTTATTCAAACTTAGAATGCATAAATATTTACTGTAATGAATTTTATTCCTCTTTGTCCTTTTATGAGTAAAATATCTTTTTATTTCGAATCTTATCTAAATTTGTTAAACTTAGATTTTAATTAAAATTTCAGTTTTAAATTAAATTGCAGATTAAACAAACAATTGATATTATTATTTATTTCATTACTTTTTTCTTTAATTGCTATTTTTAATTTAATTAATTATTATATTTACTTAAATAATTATTATCATTTCATTAATTATTATATTCGTTATTCATATATACTATATTCATACGATAGGTTTTATTTTATTATTTATCCAATAAGTATGATATTATAATTTATCTAATTTAATTAATTTAGCGTTAATCGATAGAATATTAAAATTTTTTTTTTGCTAGAAATAAAAAAAGGAAAAATATTTTGTAAACATTGTGCAACTTATATTTTCTAAAAAGACGATTCTCTTTTTTTTCTTTATGTCTCGTAATGACTATCATAATGGACTATAAAAAGTAAATTGCAGTTAAAAATAGAAATAATAACGATTAATTATAATTATATTTGTGACGGGGAAAATTTTTTTTTGCAGATTAGACATTAAATCATGATTAGAACTCTTTTTTAATTAAAACTTTTCTATGAAATTACGCATTTTGTAATTTAGATGATTTAGAATATTGTGCGTAGAAAAATTGAAGTTTACTGCATATAGTGAAATATTCTCTTTGAGTATAATTACTTTTTATATATACTGAAAATGTGTTTACTATTCATTTAATAGAACATTATAAGAGGTGTAATTTTTCTATTTTTTGTTGAAAGCTAATTTTTAGAAGAAAACATAAAAACACAGTCAAGTTTTAATTGATAATTTTATGAAGTTTATTAAAATTTTCATCTAGTGCAAATTCTTGTTGTTCACTTTGCTTGAATATTAATTTTAATTAATCGGGTGTTTATAAAAAGTTTCTTATTAAATTTAGCATAATTTATATTTTTAGAGAATTATTATTTTAGTGTTAGGCAATTTTGTTTTTTTAGTTTTTAATTAATTAATTAATAAACTGTTGATTAGATAAAAAAAACATTGGTTTTTTTCAAAAAAAAATTTTTTATCAAAGCGAAATACATCCAGAAAAAAAAATTTTAGACTAAGAGGTAAAATCCTCTTTTGATATTCTCTTAATTTGTCCTTTCGAAACAAAACTGAATTCCACTTCTAGAATATTTTTTTAGAATGTAGAATATTTTTATTCTTCGGTAGTTGACAATAAAACCATATTTTTTTGAGGTTTTGATGTCAAAAACGTTGAATTTTATTTATTCTATTAATATTTATTTTATTAATTTTATTAAATAAATTTATTAATTGGTGTACACTGAAAAAAAAATTGATTTGATTCAAATAACTGATTATTTGTCTATTATCAAATAAATATTTAATTGAATCAGATAAATATTTACTTGAATCAAACAAATATTTACTTGAATCAAATAAATATTTACTGGAATCAAATAATTTTTGCTTAAATCAATTAAATTGTATTTGAACCGCAGTAATTTCAGTATTTCAAGCAAATGCCATTTAATTGACTTAAATAAAAATTATTTGATTCAAGTAAATATTTATTTGATAATAGACAAGTAATCGGTTATTTACGTCAACTAAATTTTTTTTTAATGTAAGTAATTAATTATATTTACTTCATTAATAAAATCTAATTTAATGGATCAGAATAATTTTTTACTATTAGTAAATAACCATAATTGTCAAATAATAGAGAGAAGAATAGATAGAAGAAAAAACCTAAAAAAATGTTTTATTTATATCAAATATAATTTATTTGAGTCAATTAAAAATATATTTGTCACGGAGCCTATTAAATTATTTATTTGCTTTAAATAAAAATGATATTTAGCACAAGTAAAATTTTTATTTGAACCAAATGCAATTTATTTAAAGGAATTAGGCTCTAAGTCAATTATATATCTGTTTTCTGAGTGCACTGATACATGGGAGAGGATTATGCTAAAATAAATTATTTAAGGTTTTTATATTCACTTTAAATAATTTTTTTTAATTCCGATAAATTTTATTTAGTTCAAATAAGTTTTATTTAGTTCGAATAAATTTTATTTAATTCAAATAAATTTTATCCAGTTAAAATAAATTTCAAGCAGTTCAAATTTATTTTATTTGCTCCAAAAATCACTTTATTTGTACAAAATAAGATTTTTATTTGAAACAAATAAGTGGGTTTTGTAAACTTTTAAACAAACATGATTTTATTTAACTGAAATTATAGTTGTTTCGAAGAAAATTTGAAATTCAAATAAAAACTTTTCTCTGGGTAAATAATTGGTTTAAAAAATATTATTATTCGAGCAAATCAAAATTTATTTGGAAAATTGTAAAAAAACAAAAGAATTAAATTAGTATTGTTGCTAAAAAATGAATTAAATTAAGATTTATTTTTGAAAAATTGAAAAAAATGAGTGGAGTAGGATAGTTGCTAAAAATGATTAAACTGGGTAATAAAAATAATATATGGATACACTGACATATTTCATTTATAGAGAACTATTAATTCATATTTAGAGAGTAACGTGTTGGAGATAAAGTAGATGAATATAAACTTGATGATTGTATATATAAATGTATATAATTGATGATGATTATAATTATATAGTGACAAGTTTTGCATATTTGTTGGTCTTTTTTGGTGCAGAGATAATTTTTTTTTTTTTTTTTTTTTTTTTGACACTGATACACATACATAACTCTTCAGCGCGCATTATATGTATATGCAAACGTAGAGAAGCAGGTAAAAGGAATGCAGCATCGTGATCTATTAAATGATTAATCATTCTTGAATGGACATGGAAAGTCTACAAAGTAAAGATTATAGACTTCTTGTCTAATTCCGAGCAAAATTATTATGACATTATCTGTCAAGTTGTCGCACACTGTTCGATGTCCTATATAAAGTTGCGCCGCGAGTGTACACCACCACCAAACGGTAATGACTTTAAAAGAGAGTTAAGCCCAAGGACAGAACTTCCTTGTCGACACAATGTCGTGCAGTTATATTCTGACACTGCACTCGACGCATCTTGCAAGTTGTGTATACGAATATCTCGAGTACTGCTTGTTACCTTTTGTACCACATTCACTTCCGCGCTATTCCTCGGAATCTTTAATGCTTCATCTACACGAAACACGATAATTTCACTATAATAAAGTCCTTTTTCCGCTCGAGATTTTACTTTTGTCCTTTTAGTTTCTCTGCACACTGTATGCATTTCCTTTAATAGATTCTTTTATGGGGACTTGAGACAAAAACAGCGCGGAGAAATAAAAGTAAAGAAAGCGAGGGAGGAAGCCACATGCAATATAATTTATAAATAGAGAGATCAAAACTGAATAAATTTGATTGAGGAGAAGTAAAATATTTTTATTCACTTTCCTTGTTGATTAGGAAGAGACTTCGTTTTTCGAGTTTAAATGTACCGCTAGTGCTAAAGTGTGTGGAGAATTTTTCGAAACCCAAAAACCTAGTAAGTCTTTATTTAGAAACCGGAATTCCTTCTGTTTGATAGCTTTTGTTAAACTGAAAAGTTATACGTACGTGAATACACTTGGTCACGTGTTATACTCACTATACTTATATATACTGTTATACATATTCTTCAGTAGCGAGTCTATTTTTTTACGATTATACGGCAAGATTGCGTTGCCGTGAGAAAAATTCATTCGCGCAACTACTGATTTGAGCGCGAAAAGAATTTCTGATGAAAAAATGCGGAAGTAACAGGATTATCTCCTCGTCGCACTTCCACGCGCGAGACAATTCGAGTAAATAACGTATATGAACATATGCGAATTAACATGAACAATCGGATCATGTTAATTTCCTTTTAATCTTCTTTTCCTTCAAAACTGCTTTCGCACTTGTTTTCTTTTTTGCTCCTTAAGGTTTGAAACTTTGAAGTCTCTGAAGTTGATAGTGTCAAAAGCTCTTATTTGGGGTTTTTAGAGATAAAAATGCCACTAATTTCACTTCTTTTACACTGAAAAAAAAATTTATTTCATTCAAATAACCGATTAATTGACTATTACCTTTTTATCATTTAGTTGAATCAAATAATATTTATTGGAGTCAACTAAATGGTATTTGCTTCAAATACTGAAATTATTGGTTCAAATACCGTTTAATTAACTGCAATAAATATTATTTGATTCAAGTAAATATTTAAATATTTAAAATATTTAATTTAAAATTTAGAATTATTACTAGGACTTGAAGGAAGGTGGATTTTTTTCTCAGATTAGAATGAAAGAAAATTGTTGACCTACATCCCAGGTTGTTAGGGGTTTATTTTTGCTGCTTCTGTTTACGAATCTTTTAGAAAATTTCAAAT